TTAATTTTTAGCGTTTTTAATTTTTTGTAGCATATTTTTAGGCGTTCAAGGTGTAATTTTATAGATACGAATTTACATGCCGTTGGTTGGAATTAAGTTCTTGATTTACAATGCAACTACTGATTTTAAGTATTTATTTTTATATGATTTAAAAATGTATGTTGCATACTTTCAGGAGCTTAACATGTAACACAAATGGTAATTCGCTTAAATTAAATGTTAATAGAGTTTTCAAACTTATATACCTATATACATACATATGTATGTTTCCTATCTGTCTATATATCACTACACGGTAACGGCTATTGTCTGTTTCCGTTACGGAAACCATTTGCAAACCGACTAAAATTCACATGATGACTAAATGCATGAAAATGTGCATTAATTTAAGCCACTCGGCGAAAATCGCATGTTGTTTAGTCTTATTGATTTACACACAACCATAACATATACATATACATATGTTTTGTGTAATGTACATATACTGAATGTATTGTAAGTTTGCTCATTTCTTAGTATACATTTAGGCTGACGTTCAATACACATGTGTACATACATAAATACCTGGAATTTGCAAGTAATTGCTTCTTTAAGCAACTCTACACTTGAATAATCCTTGCTAATTTGTGTAAATATACGAACCAGCGAGCATACATACGTACATATGTATGTGACTTGTACGTCTATATACATACATATATAGTTATATGTAGGCTTTTTGACAACAAACAGGAAATATCAGCTCATATACACCACAGCAGGGCACTGAGTGTGTGCCACTGAAGCTGAAGCGCAGCGTTGAGAGTTTGTGATTTCGTGGCTTTTCGGGCTCTGCTTTCAATTTTATCTGGCTGTTGTTTTTGCTGATGGCTTTTTGTTGTGTGTGCATGTTTGCTTGTATGTATTTGTGTTCTGATTTTGACTTGCTAGCGCGCCGAACCATTGAGATAAGCCCAAGGATCAGCTGCCATCTTGTCCATTCACATGTTTGTATGTATTTCATACATCAGGAGAGGTGAATAGACTTACATACATATATAATATATGCACCATATCAGTCAAAGTGGTTTGCATTGCAGTAGCAACATATTGTTCCATTAGGGTTTTTGGCCAAAATTTTCGTGAACTTCCTCATGTGTTGTGTGCAAGTGTGTGCTGTGTACATATAATATGTCTATATGTGTTTGTAGAATGTTAAAGGTGTTGCCATAATTAAGTTTATGATTCCACCAATGGCTAACCGCTTCTATTAGACTCATCTAAATGCAAATGTCTGCCAATCAAAGGTATCGCCTAAGCCCATAAGCATTTATACATACATATGTACATGTGCCGACGAGGTGGAGACAATATAGATTAAAGGATTAAATTAAAAAGTACAGAAAAAGATATAAAAAATATAAAATAAAATTAAAAAATAAAGTAAAAAAAGAATTCGATGAAGTGAAAAAACTATAAAATTAAAAAATGTAAACTAAAATGAAATAAAAATTTGAAAATCAAGAAAATAGGGAAATTTAAATTAAAAGAGGTAAAAAGATAAAAAAAATATTTTTCGTAAATAAAATAAAAAATATAAACAAATAATATAAAAGTATAAAACTAAAAAAAAATAATATAAAGTAAACAAACATAAAAAAAATATATAAAAGTATAAAAATTTAAAAATTAATATAAAAGTATAAAAATAAAAAAAACAATATGAAGATATAGTATTAACATATAAAAGAAGCAAAAAACAAAAATTTTAAAGAAATGTAAAAAAAATACCAATAAATTTAAATAAATGTAAATAATATTAAAAAAGTATAAATAAATTATAAAAGAATATAAATAATATAAATAGATATAAAAATATACAAATAAATAAAAAATATAGAAAAATATAGAAAAATATGAAAAAATATGAAAAAATATGAAAAAATATGAAAAAATNAAAAAAATTAAAAAATGAAAAAATTAAAAAAAAAAATTAAAAAAATTAAAAAAAAATTAAAAAAATAAAAAAAAATGAAAAAATATAAAAAATATGATAAAATATAAAAAAACATAATATATAATAATATAAAATAATAAAATAAAATATAAAAAACAATAAAAAATATAAAACAGAAATAAAAAAATTATAAAAAAATTGTTTTTGTTATATGTGAAAAATTTGTTTTATTGCGTAATGTTATAGATTATATAATTAATTATTATAATCGCGATATACTTGCTAAATTTTTTATTTGATTTGATTTTATTTTTTCAAATCTTCTATTTTTTATTTTTGTATATATTTTTAATTTAAGCTGTGTTTAATATATTTTGATTATTACATTTCACTAAATTGAAATTTCTAGTTCAATTTCAGTTTTTTTTTTTAATTCTTTAATTTCTCCCCGCCTATTTTCGCTTAATAACCTCATTTTTCAATCGCTTTCCTTTTGGGTATTTGTATTTTTTTTTATAAAATTTTTCCCACTTACTTATCCTATTTGCCTCGATTAATGCCGACTTTTCAGGCCAAGTACATGGATATGTACTTAAAATTGTGTATCGCCTTGCGCTCGCAAGAAATTTATCTGCCAATATAAGTTGGCGCCTAAAAGCAGATTACTATCTACACCCTGCCTTGAGCTTTGTCTACAGTCATTATACATATACATAAATACATATTGTACATAGCTGTGCGTAGCATTGTGCGTAAACGGCCGTACAGCCTGTTTCCGATTTCGGTTGGCGCCACTGTTGGTCCTTCATTGTCTTGCCAAAATCAGCTAGCCAATAAATATTGCTTGCGAATTGAGTGCCTTAATCATTGTTGTGCTCATACCCAAATAAATATTGTGATGAGCGATTGTTTTCAGCTTATTTTTTCTTCTTCTTCTTCCTAACAAAAAAGTGGCAAAAAAGCATGTGCATACTTTGCTAGCTTGCAAAGGAATTAATCAAATATTTTGTGTGCAAAAAAAAAAAAAAGAAATCGTTTAACGCACTGCGGGAAAATGGCATGCCACAGTTTTGTTTTGTTGGGCAAATTTGGGTAGCTGACGCATGATTTAGCATACTTTTAGGCGCACAAGCGTTTTTCTTTGTCTCTTAAACGATTGTAATCCCATTATTTTGTAAAATATATGCGTGCTGCATACTTTTAGGCTGTGTGGAGCTGTAGAATATGGAAAATTGCGCTAAACTTTGATAACACTGAGATATTTTTAATAGTAATAATAGCTTTACATGATGGTTCTGCTTTCAATATCGAATTTTAGGTCATATTAAAGTCTTACTAGCTCAAATGGGGTCGTACTAATACTTTGAGTTAGCATTTGTGTGCAACGCGAAGCAATGAAAATTAATTTCAAGTGATTAAGAATTTTCAACGCCTTAAAAACACGCTACAGGTATGTAGAGCAGTAAATAAGTACACCTACCGATTCTTGCTACCTCAAAAAATTGTTTTTTTTTTCTTTATGACTCTCGCTTTACCTTAATTTTGTTGAGGAAAACGCCTTACATATTTTAAATATTTTTTATTTTTTTTTTCAATTTTTTAACTATCTCGCCCTAAATTATATTTTATTCATGCACTTTTAGGCAATTTCATAGCCATAATTGTGTTGTACTAGCTGCACAATTACAATATTTCTCAACTTTATTGCATTTTTCTGTGCGGGCAAAAAAAAAAAGAGAAAAATTGAACTGAATAAAAAATGCCATCAAATATCATAAATCACACAGTACATGCCGACATTTTCGCTTGCCTTTCTTTAAGCTCTGTAATTCTCTTTGTATTTTGAAACTCACTCATTTCTCTTGTAGGTTCCACGCCAAAGGTATGAGCTCTTTTACCCTTTTTAATGTGATTTTCTTACGCTTTATGCTTGTATGCGCCTAAAAGTCTACTTTAATTTGTTGCATGTCACATGACAAATGCGGCATAAGGAAATAAGTAAAAAAAAGGAAGGTTGGTGGCAATTGTTGACAAATATAATTATATTTAATAATTTTTGCTATATCAATTTTGTTGTGCTACACCACGCCGTGTCCTCCTCGCCGCCGTCTAGTTTATTGTTGCGTGAAGTGATTCGAATTGAAGTTGTTTTACCGACTGACTCGCTTGCCGCGTTGCTCATTTTTCACTTATTGATTTCTTGTGAAAAATTATATTCATTATTCGCCCATGCTGTTGGAGTTGGCAGTAAATTGAGTCATATTTTCGGCTTTTTTTTATTTGATTTCCATTTTTATTTTATTTATTTTTCAATTTTTTTATTTTATTTATTTTTCTATTTTTTTATTTTATTTCCTAATTTTTATTTTTATTTATTTTGTTTATCTGGCTTTAAGGCATTAATTTAATTACTTTAATTATTGTTATTTTTTATTTCAAATTAATTTGCTTTATTTTATTTTTAAACTTACTTAATTATAATTTAATTATTTTAATGAATTTTTCTATTTTATATTTTTTAATTTTTAATTTTATTTTTTAGTCTGAATTTATTTATTCTCTTAAATTTATAATGTTTTTTTATTTTGCTTCATTATGCATAAATCTTTTTTTTTATTTAAAAAATCGATAAATTAAAATCCAATTGAGGAAACCGGATTTTCGGCCTTCAAAATTTGCTATTTACATATTCTCAGCTATCGGTTCTCTAAAGCAAGCACGAGAAAAAATACTTTCTCCAGTCCTAATGGATTCTAAAAATCTTTAAAATATCCACTTTATTCATAGACATTTTTAGATTGTATTTTGGTCGAATTCGCCTCGACTTGCGTGCGAAAACGAGTTTCGCTTCCAACTCCTCGCGATCTATCCTTAAATAAATTCCTTAAGTAGTAGTTTACTTGTGATCAAAGAGGTTTTTAAAGAAGAATCCGCTTGGTGTTATACCTTTCCCTAATAAGTTTGCTTGCTTACTATATAGTAAAGTCCACCTCACTTCAAGTGCTGGTACAAGTTGTTTCCAAAAAAGTGGAGAAAATCGTCAATGCAAGTAAAAATTCGTGGATTGGGTTAACTCCTTAGTAATCTATATTTCTTTTTATTTATTTTTATTTTTCTCAATGAACAACATTTTATTTTGGAATATGTTAAACCACTAAATTGCATACACCTTCACATAGTCGATCAGCATCTCGCCAAACTCCAGCCAATTCTCGAAATTCGTCTCCACCTGCTTCAACAGCGCGTCCATTGCGGCGGCATGAGTTTTGTCATTTTCCCAAGGCTTCGGCGGTTGCCAATTATGCAAGTCGTCACTAAAATCATTTACGCCACCGATACCATAACCCAGCGTCAGGTAGTATTCCTGATCGAAAGGCGCCATTTTGTTGCCACTCTTTCTAAGTAAACTCGCATTTGGCAACTCCCGGGAATTTTTCACTAAATCAGCAAACGAGCCATCCTTCTCTACATCCAACTGGCAGTACGTCTGTTCATCTATAGCCAACGAAATTCCCCGCTCACGCCAAATTAGCGTATAAATATGAAAATCATTGCCCAAATCCAATTTATCTGCTTGTCCCAATTCACACATTTTCACCCAACGCCATGAGGTGTGCGCATTCAAGAGAACGCCACCGAAGAGATGCATTTGTGTGTCGTTTAAATAGGAGAAGGCGATACGCATTTGACCCGATTGATAGTCCTCCGCGCCGTACTTAGCGGCGTTAGCTGGCTGTAGCCACAGCTGCGGGAAGACCCAATGGGCGCGTGGCAATTTGGCACGTATCTCCACACGTCCATATTTGAAGGTGAAGTGCTGCTTGGTGGAGATTTGCGCCGAAATGAAGGGTGGTATTGCGTGGAATTTCGACGCCTGGTCATTACGCACACACTCCTCACTCTCGGGGCTGCCCGTGCAATTGGGTCCGATATCATATTTGATATTTAATTGTTGGTTTTGTTGTTGCAAATGACGGGTGGTCAATTTTGGTAGCATTCTAAGGAAACCATTCTTTACTTGCAGCACATCTTTTGTATTTAAATATAAGGCGAATTCGTGATCAGGTTTTGTGCCGAAACGTTCTTCCGCCGTCCAATGTGTGCTGTCCAGCTGTGTGCCGTTGAAGTTTTCTTCGAAGAGCAATTGATTGTTGCAACTCCCTTGTTGTCCGCCGTTCTTGCAAGATGGCGAAAGCCTGCAGCTGTCGTCCATGCGTACATCAATAAGACCGGCGCCGTCATTTTGATTGTGTGCGCCGCTGTTGACGACCGTGTCAATGAGTGTGACGCCGCTATTAACTGTGTTGCTGCCACTATTACTGCTTCCAGGAGCCCCAACTCCACCGCCACTTATGCTGGTTGCAAAACTGCCACCGGTGTTTCCACTACCATTACCTTTACGCTTGGGTTCTTCAATATCGCCACCAGTAGGTTGGGCATTCGCATGCCCATACTCGTGCACCACAAAAACACCATTATCTTCGCGATAGCCCAAACCATCCTTAATCACATACGTCCAATAATATAGCGTATCGCCAATTCTTAACTTTGCATTGCGCTCGCGAAAGGTCCAACGTCCATTTTTTACTCTGACTATATCTCTCGACCAGGTGCCAGCTTCTAAACCCTCCATTTCTTCGTTTAACTTGCCGTGAAAGGCGAAAAGCGTTATGCCCTCTTCATGTGGTATGGACACCTCAAAGCCCTTTGGGAAAAATACTTCTATTTTTGCTCTCGGCACCTCATATCCCAGCGACGTGGCGTTGACTGCAGCGACTGTCAGGTAGCTGAGCGCAACTATGATTGCTGTTGATGAGACAAGCATTTTGCTGATTGTATTTCATACGATTTTAATATTTAAATTTTATACGTTCTGAGGCAGCGGCGTTTATCTGCTTTGCGCAGCGTCTTTTAATAAACTGAAATACTTAATCCGTAGCTGAGCGCCTCTCTAAGCGGAATTCGCTTGTGTGCTGATAAGTTTTTTATTTCATTGGTTTTTTCAAGCCACGATTAGCTGTAAAACAAAAGTTGACCAACGACGCGGGTAAATCACTTAAATTCTACTGAGTGCAAATAAAGAATACGAGCAGCTAATGTTTTCTCTGTTCTCCGCTATGCGCAGCTACTGTTCGCTATACATATTTTTCTTTCATCTGCTTAGCCATTCATCATCAGTTTTATTTACAATATATATAACAAAGAGTGTACGGGTTTTTACGCGCTGAAATTGCTGTAATCAGGAGAAAGGTGCTTTTGCTTGTGCAAATATATAATTTAAAGCTCGGAAATTTATTTGTTAATCTCTTTGGGTTTTCTTAGTTCGAAAAAGCATACACACACACATAGATTTCGCAATTTTTAATAAATTTTTCTCACCATTTAATTCTGTTATTACAAACTTCTATTGAAAAACATTAATTCTTTACATTGCCTAATACAACGCTGTACCATGCCGGTGACAGTTTTGGCGCCACTGGATTTTTGTGTAATAATTTGTATCTACAATATAAAACACTTTGATGAGAACTAAGAATTTAATGAATGTCGACAAATAAAATAATAATTTTTTTTAGTCTTTATGAACATTAACCGGTCTTTCGGTTTCTCTGCGAAGTGTGTTTTCGCAAGTTTTATGAAATAATTAATGCAAATGATTGCAGTTATTAAAAAGTGGCCACGTCACGCCAAAAGTTACGTGTGAACAATGCTAATAAGAATTTATGTTTTTTCTTGTAATTTTGCGGGAAATTGAAGAAAAAACAATTTCTGCTCTGTTATTCAAAATTTGTGCTGATTTCTCGAAAGTTTTGCACTAAATCAAATTATTTCGATTATGGTTCGTATTCTGACTCCCTTTCGGTGCAAAACAGCGTTATTGTGAATCTTGGTCATTTCTTCCCGTTCACAGTAAGATATTTCTATCAGCTGATACGACTAGTTTATTAATGCGAATAAATTAAAATAAAATAAAAGGATGTAGTTCCGATTGAAAAGTAAAATCAAATACAATTTTTTTTTCAAACAAAAAGTAAAAGAATCCCACGGTACATCCTCTATTGGATTTTTTTGAAGGCAAATTTCTTTATTATTTATTGTCATGTGCAGAAGATTAAATTATGAAAATTTACGTAAATATATTTAAATTTCTGCCTTGAAATATTGAAAATTCGTGCTAAAAATAGAAAGTAAACAAAGAATATTTGAGTTTCCGGTGATTTTCTCATTTGTGTTGGTCTGAAAATTCAATACCAAAGGAGCATTTTTTGAACTAACCACACTTTAATTGCGAGCTAGATTGAATTTCGGAAAAAAAATTTAGTTAGGCTTCGTCGATTTTGCCATCACAAATAATGAAGTTATTTAGAAAATACCTGCGAGGTTACCTAAAATAGCTGGACTCACCACCTTCAAAGAACACACATAAAATTTATAATCATAACTCAAAACATATAATAAAATATAATATTTGGAAAATTATTATTAAATAAAAATTTCCAATTAACACTACATACTTATTTAAATTAATAACATTTCGTTTTTTAAACAAACAAAACAAAAAATAATAATTATAAAAACTTAAATTGCAAAGACCTTAACATAATCGATGCGCATATCACCATTGCCCGCCAGCCAATGGTCGAAATCCACTTTCTTCACCAGCGAACCCATTCCATGTGGACTTGTGTTGCCCCAAGGCTTCTCCGGCCGCCAAAAATTCATATCTGGAAAATCATTTATGCCGCCAATGCCATAACCCAATGTTATGTAGAATTCCTGATCGAAAGGCGCCATTTTGCTGCCACTCTTGAGCAAGCCCCTATTCGGCAGCGCGTCACCTTGCCTCAATAAATCGGCCAGCAAGCCATCGTTGTCTGGTCGGAATTTGCAATACTCCGTATTATCCACTGCGACGGAAATTTCATTTTCCGTCCAAACCAACGTGTAGATATGAAAATCATTGCCCAGATAGAGACGATCTGCATGCGGGAACTCACACATTTTCTCCCAACGCCAAGTACTATTCGCATTCACAATTAAACCGCCAAAAAGTTGCATTTGTTCGTTATTTACAAAGGTGAAGGCGATGCGCATTTGGCCCGATTGGTAATCATCACTGCCGTACTCTTGCTTTACTGGCTGCAGCCACAATTGTGGAAAGACCCACTGGGCATTGGGCATTTTCGCTTTGATCTCGACACGTCCGTATTTGAAGCTGAAGTGATCCTTTGTGGAGAACTGCGCCGATATAAAGGGTGGCACGGAAATATATCTCGTTGCTGCGCCATCGCAAACACACTCCTCACTGTTCGGGCGGCCAGTGCAGTGTGTGCCCAAATCGTATTTAGCCTTTAACGGTTTATCCTCACTTTGAAAGTGGCGTGTGGTTAATTTTGGCTTTATAGTAACGACGCTATTCCACACGCTCAACACATCAGACGCATCATCCAAATACAGCACATACTCATAGTCCGGTTTCGTGGAGAAACGGCGCTCGACAGTCCAGTGACTGCGGTCCAACTGTGCGCCGGTGAAGTCGTCTTCGAAAAGCAGCTGCTTGGCGCAATTCACTTGTATACCATTTCTAAATGTTGGCGTCGGTTTGCAATTAGCGTCACGTGTGCCAACGTCAGTGGGAGGCTTTTTCTTGGCGCCGCCGGCGTTAGTATTTATTGTAGCATTTGAATATGCGCTCACCACGAAAACACCATCATCTTCGCGATAACCCAAGCCATTGTAAATGACATAAGTCCAGTAATACAGTGTGTCACCCAACGCCAGTCGGGCTTCGCGATCACGGAACGTCCAACGTCCGTTCTTCACCTTTACTATGTCTCTGGACCAAGTGCCGGCTTCCAAACCCTCCATCTCCTCATTTAATTTTCCGTGGAAAGCGAAAAGTGTTATGCCCTCTTCGTGTGGTATGGACACCTCAAAGCCCTTCGGGTAGAACACCTCGATTTTTGCCTTTGGCACTTCATACTGCGGTATTGTGTGTGCACAGGCTATGAAGAAGCCTATGCACATTAAAAACCGTGGAAGGCGGTGCATTTTGTTTTGTATTCTGTTTCATAAAACAATAATTCTTGGTAATTAAAAATTCACTGGTTGCGTCTGGGAGCAGCTGTCTCGCGCGCGTCTTGGAATGAACTGTAGCAGCTCAACGCTGCGATCGGCAATATCAAGTTCTGGTTTTGCTGATTATTTTCTCACTGCTTGCTTAGTGGCTATTAATAAATACAAACCTGTTTTCGCTTGCGGGCGAACCCCAAGCGTTGATGAGCATAACCAGCGCTCGCTCAGAGCGCATTGAGATATTTCAGCTTTTCCATTGAACTTCGCGCATTTGTATTATTTTTAATTGATTTTATAAGCAATTGTTGTGCTTTATTTCATGTGAATCATCTCGAGAACCCGTGCAGTACTTGTATATATTCAAATGGTGGCTTAGCTTCCGCGTCTCTGTCGCTTGAGACTCTCTTGGCAATACTTTGTGCTGAGACGTAATTTAAATATGTAAATGTGTGAAAATGCTGTTAGCTGTAACTGTAGGATTTTCGTAGAAAACTAACTAAAAAGTTACTATCAATTACATTTACTCGCAGCAGCTTTAATATATATATTTGAGGCCTCTGTCTTTTGTGCAAAAAGCTTCTCGTACTCCGCATTCCAGGCGATATTTGACCTATTATCTAATGGCATCTATTTTTCTTCCTTTTTTTTTTAGCAATAATTGTACCTCAGCGACACCTAGTGACAATTTTTCCTTGTTGTCGATCCCGAGCGCGCACATTTTAAATAATTGATAATTTTTACAGGTTTAATTCGAGTCCAGCGACACCTAGCGGTCAATACTTCACATCGTTCATCGTAAGAGTATTCGTATCCCAACCCCAGTGTCATTTAGTTGGATTATATTTTTCCGAAAACATTTGTCTTTCCATTTCTAAGACATATGGACATATACACATAGCAGTACCTAGCAGATGGCTTCAGTTCTTGCACGAGTTTGATTTTGTATACCCGCAAAATCTTCCATAAAATGGTTTTGCACGCGTTCGCTGATGGACTCCTTCGGGTATTCTTCGATTCTATGCTGCACAGTCTTTGGTGAGAGAAGCGGCGAGAAACTGATCCGTAGTTGCTCGAATTAACGACGAGCTTGGCTTCCGCGACACCGGTTGGGTTTGTCTTCTCTTCGAAACTGTACTTTGCTTGGTCTATTATTTTTGAGTGAAATGGCCTACTAGGTTCATTAGTTATGCTGTCAAACGGTAAACAGTTGCAGTTTAACAAAAGTGCGCTACTGATTTATACGTTTTTCTGTTACAGAAATAGATAAGAAGGCATCAAAAATTAATTCGCTCTTGCGCGTTGACCTTCGATCAAGAAAAAGTCCTATATTTGGCAAACACTCGAGTTCTTTTTCGCCACAATCAATTATCTGTCTATGACCTTTACGAAAAAGTCAGTCCAACGTCGAGCAGTCGCCATTTCAGCCTTGACGCAGCTCAGGCGAAGTGGACGTGGACGTGAACGTACGACGACCGCAATATTTATGAAGTGCATTGGTTGAGCGCCAAAATTAGAAATGCGGGAATCATGAAATACGTTCCTTGTATTACGAACATTTGGAAATTTGGCAATCTTTTGCTTTCATTCGCTTTCACAATTTTTTTTTCTTTTTTTTTTTTTTAATTTCTATTATGCCAAGGGTTTTGTTCTGCTACATATCACTTCACTTTTGTTTCCAAAATGTAAATATAGAAATATTTCATTTTTTTTCCTTTAAGTGTGTCGAAAGGAGAAGAAAAACACACCATTTTGCATAGCATTTGTTTGTTGTTGCTGCAGTTAAATGTGTAACAGCAACGACAAATATGTAAATGTTGCTTGCTGCCCTGCCGGCCTGATGACGCCACTTGGGTTTGCCAAAGATACGGCGACATGAAGAAATTAAATATTTGTTATTGTACGTAGCAGAGGGGCGCGCAGGATATGCGCCTTCGTTTAGTGTTCACAAAGCAGCGTATTGCCAAAAAGTCATCCCAAAAAAATTAAACAAAAAAAGTTTTAACAACTTAACAATTCAATTATAAGTTTTTGGCCTAAAAAAGTGAGAGACATAAATTTTGTTTTGCCCAATTAGTAAGCCCAGCGTCTGATTTCTGTTGATTTTTTCTTTTGTGCTGCTTTTTTTTTACACTTTATCACTATCTGTTGTCGCTTGCTTCGATATCAGCTGCTTGCTTTTGAGCTTGGCACATTTATGTCATGCTTTTGCTGCGCTTGTTTTCACCTTAACCTCGTGCGTTATTTAATTTACTAGCAACAGCTTTGGCTTGCATGTTTTTGTAATTTTTTATTACTTTTCTTCTCTATACATAAACTATTTGCAGTTTAGAAAATATTTTTGTAAACAATTAAGGATTTGTGCTTATCTAAGTGCGTTTGAGAATTTTGTATATTCGTCCTGTCATCTGGCATATCAACATATTATCGAAATCGATAACTGTTGGTGGAACTGCTTTAGCATCAGTGTCCCCAGGGTTGTTATTTTAACTGATTTTTATTTCAATGTGTAGATAAGTATATATAACAAATATGTATACATTATGTTTTATTGTAAGTATTTACATATAGAATTATTATGTAACTGTAAAGTAGAATAAAACATGTAAAAAAAAATTTAGGCAAAATTCTTTAGACATTATTTTTTACATTTTTAAGCAATATTATACATTGCTTTTTTTTGTATTATTAAGTTTGAGAATTGGGATTTTATGCGAAACCCTACATCATTCAAAAGATCGCCTCGCGAATTTTTGTCGTTTGATTAAATTTTCAACCACTTTTTGTGACGCATGGGACGCTATCTCATCCATAACTTGACGAATGTTGTTGAGTGACCAGAATTGAGCGGCATATAATTTAAATGGCGCTCTATAACCGCTGAAACGATTTTCCGCCTGCATGCGTTTTTTTCTATTTCATTAACAACATTTGAAACGTTGGCCAATGCAAGTCTCGCACATGATTCGCCGCTGGGAATATATACATATGCATATACATACGTTCACAGTATCAGCACGGATGAATGCAATTAATAATCGTAACAAATGGTGCCTAAATGTTTAAGAGCTAAATGAACCACAAGCATAAGTCGCTGCTCGCAAAGTTTGAGAGCTACATGTAGGCGGTTGTCGTCAATCAATCTATTTTCTTACCCCATGACAGTGAGGTTGAGATTTATATTTATTTATTTATTTTTTCTTAATTTGGTGCATTTTAAGTTGTTCTTATTAAAGTTCATCCATATATACAAATGTAGAATAATTTTTCTTGAAAAGTACTGCAGTGTGCGCTTTGACATACTTTGCCTTTGGATGACTGTGAACTTTCCGCTCTATTTTCAATTTCATTATCTGTAAATGTTGGCATAAAAACGTACTACTCTTTGTACTCTTTGACTTTCGCGTTGTGCGTAACCTTTGCATTATCTACTAGTACTTTTACTTCTTCAGCTTGCATGGCAAACCCAATACATAGCCACCCCATCCCGGCTGCTATACGCAATGCGTGGGCGTTCAGGATGAAACTGATTTTTTTAAATTGAAAAAAAAAAAAAAAAATTGATGTTGCGACCAAGAACGAGAAAACGAAACAATAACTTGCCATAAACGGAAATATTAAACTGCAAAAGACATAAGATGTGTGCGACTGACTGACTGACTGTCTGTCTGACTGTCTGACTAAATTAATGTAAGAATATCTGCCCCAGCCAATGGCAATCATCAAGTGAAATGCATTGTTGCTGCTCTGTGTATTCCTGGTATCCTTACAAGTTTGCTGAGTTAGTTGTTCGTTTGATTGCGTGCACACAACAGAGTAAGTAGTAATTTCTCAGCAGAAGTAACAATAAAAAAGGTAGTAAAGAGGAAGAGTGGAATCAGAAATGCAGTAAATCAATTGTTGAATGAACTCGAGGATCGATTTCTCTGCTTGGAGGCATTTGCCTTTGTACGTGATTGTCAACAGTTTGTTAAGATCTTTGAGGCGTTTACGCATTGTTGGTAGTGTAGGTGTTTTTAATTTTCCTTTTTTATTTTACTCTAAGTTAAATGGACTTAAATTAATTGCAAAATCTCTGCAACAAAGAAAAGCAATCAAATGGAGGAAGACTTTGTGTAATTATCGGTAAGCTTCAATTGTGTTTTCTACTCTTCACTTTGTATTTTTGCTTTCTTGTCTTAGATCTGAGCGGAGGATGCAGTAAAAAGCAAAGAAAAATGAGATATAAAGAAAAAATGTTCAAGCCGTTGAAAATGAAATTGTATGCGTTTGTCCGTACTCGAGGCTAGTTGATGAAGGTCAGAGTGGAGAGATTTTCTGTCGTGAATTTGCAATCGGCTCTGGATTCTGCTTCCGTTTTCTGACGAGTGTATCGTTTTTCAAGCGGTAGATCTATTGCTTCGGAGCTGAACGGTTCGGCACGTCAATCTATTTTGACAATGTGGCGACTAAATGTAATGAAAGAACACCACACCTCCCACTCTAGCTAAGGTTTTTTTTTTTTTTTTTTGTTGAGGCTGGTTAGGATGCGTAATAAAGTTCAATGAGTTTGCCAGAATGGTCATGCTTGAGTTAAGTTCACCAGTCGGGAGAGGTTTGGAGATTTCGCTGATCACTTGTGTTCTTCTCTGGATCAGCTTGGCTTAACTTGGGGTTGCGCGGCTTTGATGTGAGAAAAAACGTTTTAACTTGCGAATCATTCTTGAATGGCGGGCAGATAGAGAGAGCCAGTATGGCGTCAAGTAGTAGTCAAGTAGCGCATTATGAGTACACCCACTTGCAATGAATATCTACAGAACTATACAAGTACATAGAAGAAGAAGAAAATGCATTTTATGTATGAAATAATGAAAAATAAATTTGAAAATGGGCTGGCGAGAATTTGCTCATACACAGCGCACTGAAAATTCAAACCAATCAGACGAAATAATCCTTTCTTTCCAAAATGCCGATTCATTTAGTTTTGAACTTTCTGGCCGAAAAATGTTAGTGTTAAAAAATCAGTTGCTTGTAGAAAAAAGTCAAAGTCATTTGGCAGACTAGTTTTTAACCAGCTGATTTCCTAATTTTTGTTACTCATACGCCATGACTTTCCGGTTGTCAGTCAATTTCATTTCGGCACTACTTCCTTGTTCCCAAACCGTTAAAAAAAATTTTTTTTTTGGGTTCTTTTAAGGCAAAACAAGCAATCGCGCGTTTGTCATAGAATTACTCATGCAGAACACCACCCGAACTAACACCTATTGCCAACGCTTATTGCCGTCATTTCCAATTTTCGGTAAGCCACAGCGACGGCGACAAACAACACTGCCTCTTCTGCTGCGACGCGCAAACACTCGTAGATTTTGATAAAATAAAAACGCTAAACACTAACCAAACAACAAAAGTCTCCTGATGCCAAAAATCTGTCAAAAATGAAAAATTGTGCACTCAAAAAAGAGATTCATATTGTAGTTTGTGAATGAGTCCGTGGTGTCCTTGGTAGTATACAATTTAATTTTTTTTTTGTTTTTTTTTGAACATGAAGCATACCAACACTCGAGATGGGGTTGGCGCTACTTGTCTCCATATTGTCTGCGAAAACAGATTTGCTCCGACCAACCAACCAACCAACCAACCAACCAACCAACCAACCGACCGACCGACCGACCGACGTTGTCATCACTGCTACTGCACACACTAGCTTTGCTCTGCCAGCTGCGGCGCGTGTATTTCGGTCTGTCAATTGTTTCGTGTTTGCTGACCTCGCCATCGTTATTGTAAATGACCTCAATCGGTTGTGGAGGTGGAGGCAGAGCGAAAGATTAACGATTAATAATCAGCTTAACTTGGCTGTGCGTGTTCCCATTGAAGTTGCGTCGTGTGGCGTCGACGTTTGGCATTTACTGGATTTCCATCTGTGAATTGGATTAACGGTTCTACGTTGTGTTACCGCACTTCTGTAATTTACCTGTGCAATTAGGTTGAAAGTATCTCTTCATATCAAATTTCCCTACTTGTAACCGGGTGGAGGAGGGAGCTTTCCTCCATGCGCAAATTTACTTTTGCTTATACATACATATATCTATTTCTCTTTTAATTTTTTATTTTTAATTAATTTTTTTTAACTATTTTTATTTTATTTTTATTTCTTTGTAATTATTTTTTATTTTATTTTATTTATATTTTCGTTTTCCAAGAAATTAATAAGCTTGAGAATCTATTCTCCAAACAGCAATTGTTTTCTAACTAAACCAAAGCTCACTGACCCACTACGGCCGGACACAGATTAAACATATGTGCATATGTACATGCATTTGCATTTTTTGCTCAGATGTGCAATAGTAAATATGCATTCTCAAATATCCTCGCGGTCAAAAGAATCAGGCAACAGCTAGTTTGGGACTAGTTAAAAACTAGTTAGCCAACTGTTTTTTTATGAACAACTTACTTTGAACACAATTGCCGGTTTTCGTACAGAAATACATCAGTTTTTATACTATTTCAAAATGAAAAAAAAAAGCATTCTAGTTCAGTTTTGAATCAAAGTTACTTCCAAAGATTTTATTATAAGTTAAACTTGATAAGCTTAATACCGATAAATTTCAATTGAATAATCGATAATTTTCAAATGAATAATCTATAATTTTCAAATGAATAATCGATAATTTTCAAATGAATAATCGATAATTTTCAAATGAATAATCGATAATTTTCAAATGAATAATCGATAGTTTTCAAATGAATAATCGATAGTTTTCAAATGAATAATCGATAGTTTTCAAATGAATAATCGATAGTTTTCAAATGAATAATCGATAGTTTTCAAATGAATAATCGATAGTTTTCAAATGAATAATCGATAGTTTTCAAATGAATAATCGATAGTTTTCAAATGAATAATCGATAGTTTTCAAATGAATAATCGATAGTTTTCAAATGAATAATCGATAGTTTTCAAATGAATAATCGATAGTTTTCAAATGAATAATCGATAGTTTTCAAATTAATTATCGATAATTTTCAAATGAATAATCTATAAATTTCAAATGATTAATCGAAAATTTTTAAATAAATAATGGATACATTTTTAATGAATAATCGATCCAATTTAGTTAAATATCGTATACATTTTCGATGTTTTTGAAATGAATAACTGATATTTGAAATGATTAATCGATAAATTTAGATATCTCATCGGTAAATTGTATGTAGTGTACCAGTAAATTCTCTTGGTAAACAGTTTTTTTTTAACTGGTTTAAATTTTCACTACATGAGTGCTCTTCCACTAGTGGGTAAAGCTGGAATAATTTGGTTTTGTTATACATACATGTGTATGTATATAATATATATATACATATATGCATAATATGTTAGTTAAGCGGTAGACAGAAAACTTTACGCAAATGCACAATCAGAGAGAATACTCGCACGTTCATGTAAGTACACTTGGATCGGTGTTTGAGTGCCTAAATGATATTTTTCCTTCATTATGAAAGTAGATATTTTATATATTTGCCAGCAGCAAATTTAAATAGAATTGTAAGTGGCACTAAGAGCGGGTGGGTGGGCATGCGGGCGTTCTGACCAGAGTTTCTAGGAATGCATGTACATACATACAATACAAATGTATGTATGGCTTATCAGCGTAGCACGTCTGGCGCCAACTACATAGGGGCGTTGCTTACACATATCTATGTAGATATGTATATAAACAAGATTCCCACACATATGTACAAACACACATTATATTTAATTTTTTTTGTTTCTTTTTCACCATTATCTAAAACTAATGTCGTCTTCTTTGTAAAAATATATAATATACCATACCTTACATATAGTATTATATGTAAGTACATACTTTTAATTTCTTTATTTTTTATTTTATTTTTTTGGCAAAATAAAAATGTTCATACTTCAAAGTTTGCTAACCCCAAAAACAAATATACATATGTATGTACATATATGTGCAAACGCAGCTAAACGCACATGTATAACTACATACATGCAGAACTTTTTTCGGCAAACGTCATAGTTTTTACATACTGACATATCCTCTCACCTTTGCTCCGTCCTTTCCTCTTGCTGCTGCGCTCAGATTAAATATTAAAGTTGTTTTCTGTGCTGTCATTTGTTTTTCCTCAATTTTTTTCCCTTTTTTTCCCTCCAAAACAAAGCTTGCACTCTGCGGTGGCTCTAAAATATATAATAGTATATTTCTTGTTGTTGTTTTGTAGCCACATTTGATATGCTTAGAACTTAATTTAAATTCCCAAATGTTGGTAGAATTTGCTACTGACGCACACACGCACACATACATACAAAATAAAAATACATGGAAAAACTCACGAAAAGGCAAATCCGAATATCGTGGTGTTTCTGATTGCTGTCTATGTCTGTTTCTATGTGGGAAATGGAAAAATGTTGTGAGTTGGTAAAGATTTCCTTTGATATTTCACTGATAAGCAAGTGGAAAATGTTTGACTTGAATTCATTTCCATGTTGTTCACCACATTCAAGTTGAATCAAAGGTAAATTTGAAACGAGGCTAGATTTTTTGGAAACCAAACTTTTTGAAGATATTTTTCCAATTGCCAATAAATATTCGGAGAATGATCAATAGTATTTGAGGAAATAATCGATATTTTAGAATATAGATTAATTTCGATTAATCTATATCCGGCACAGTTTGTTGAGTAATCGATAAATTATCGTGAATGATTAGGATAAGTAATCGATAAATTACCTTAAGCATCCGTCGCAATTTTTTAAGTAATCCATGAATTATGTTGAGTAATCGATATTACAATTAAATTAATAGTTGTTGTTATAGGAGTGACAGTCCTTGGCCGGATAAAAATCCGCGTCGTTCCGGTATAAAGACCCGACTTTCACGGTAACTATTGGATTTTAGTCGCCTCTTACGACAGGCATGCCTTACCACAGGTAAATTCTTGAGCCCCTAACCTGCAGGGGTATTAACGCTGATAATTAATCGATATAGTTTGCTTAAAACAACCATGGATTCGGGTAAATAATCGACAAATTCTGATAAATAATTGAGCATTTTCATATTATATAATTAATCGATAGGCCTGAGGATTGATAAAGCAGGTTTTTGAAAGTGAATTCGAGGTGATTTGAGTCATTTCAGTTTGGATATATGTAGATATGTCCTGTATAGATATGTTATTTCTCAATTTTTAAGTTGAAATTAAATTTTAAATTATTCAAAACAAAGAATTAATTGTAATGCATTTGAAATATATTTTCATATTTTTAAACAATTTTTTCCTAATCTTAACTTTTTTCTCGTTTCTTTACAGCGGTGGGCGTATGTGGGGCATGTCCCATTCACTGCCATCTGGCATGGTATGTATACTTTTCATACTGACTGTGTAGTGATGATATACAGTATTATTTTTTTTTGGATTTTTTCTTAGTTTAGTTTATAGAAAACTTAAAATATATAAAAATATAGCCAATAAACTAATAATATTCACAATAACTAACCTACAAACTATTTGTATTTTTATGTTAGCGAAAATAGAAAAACTATAAATAAATAAATGTTCTTTATAAATAATAGTTCTAGGAAAAATAGAATAGTATCTACTCTCGGGGCACACGCTTTTTCATATACAGTTTTCTACGCGAGTAAATAAAAGAGTTTTATTTCTCAAAACAAAAAACACTCCCACAAAAAAAGAATGAAATGAAAGCTTGAAATACAATGAAATGCCACAACAACAACATAATTAGCGAACTACAACAACAAGCCACAAAAATACAATTAACATTACAATTAGCACATTCTAGCAACAATAACAATAACAACAGCCACAAAAACAAACAAGAGTGATTCCAACTCACATGCAATCACCAAATAACAACAACAAAATAACAAGAAAACGACTACAACTTTAAACATTTAATGTTAGGCGAAAAATATGGTAATTGAAATAAGTACAATACAGTGCTTTATAAAAGTACGTATACACTGAAAAAATACATTTCACACACGAAAAAGTTGATTCATAAATAAACTTTTACTTAACCTCAATATAATTTTTCTCTAGCATCTATAGAATGTTATAAAATAATTTATTTTACTAACGGCAGTTTTTTAGTTGACTATGTTCTACAGTATTATAGTTTTAAAAAAGTTTTTTTCTTATAAGTATCGATTTCTTTTCTGGGAAAGTCGATTTATGTTTAAAAATTATCGTTGATTATTACGCAATCGATTGTGTGTATGAGTCATGTCTGTACAGATATGTCGATATTTTTGGAGTTATCTCGTCGATATATATTTGAATATCATTGATATTTTGGAACATCGATTGTTTTTAATCGAAAGGTGTTTAGAGGACTATGGGTGTATTTCTTTTGATGATGGTTTTTAAGGCATCGAAATTTTTTTTCATGATTTTGGGCTAACTTTATGAATATTTTTAAAATTTAAAATCTTTTCAAATAATAATAATAATTGAAACACCATTTTAAATCTTTGGGATTATCAATAATTTTTCGAAAAAATTGAGTTTTGTATAGGAATATCGTTATTTTGCGTAAAAATATTATTTTTAATTATGGTATTTACATTTACCGATAGCTTTGCTTTTATAATTTATCGATATTTTAAAATTTATCTCATAGCTTATAAGTCTTCCTTTTCCCCGTTCACACTACAGCATTTTCACTTAAATCCCTTCAGTGTTGTTTTTTATTTTTTTTTCGTCGCAATTGTTTTTTGCCTTGCTAAATTTCTCATTCCGTGTTTATCATTTTCGTCTTAGCTATTGCTTTTGGGGTTCACAATTGGCTGTCAGTGGTAGTCGCCGTACCACAACATGCCTTAACGACTGAAAATTAAGTTGATTTGGATTTCGTGTCAAACTTCGATATTTGTGGCGCCATTCATACTAAGCTCGCGCGTGTGTGTGTGTTTTTGTGAGTCTTTTCACTTATTTTCATGCTTTCCTTGCTCAGTCTCACTCCAGGAATTTTGCTTAAGAATTTTACTTCGTTGAAGGAAGGCGGTTAATACATAGCAATAGCAGTGTGCGTGTGTGTGCTTTTGGCAAGATTTGTTGTAGTGCTGCCATCTAACATAAAATATTTATGAGACATGCAAAATGTACATTAGACTAATTGCATATGAAGATTTGCTAGATAAAATACTCATTTATTTAATATGAAGCGATTGGATTTGGAGTTTTGGTGAGCTCTTTTGATTGGTGTGATTACGGATTTCTTTAGAGGGAGTTCTCTAACACACATATTTTTCATAATAAATGGTATTCATTATTTATTTATTTATTTCACATTTTAAAGCAATCAATTTTTATTTTTTTTTTTATTTTACATAAGTCTTATTTTATTTTTTTCACTAATTAACAAGCCACTAATTGCTTATTACCACTTGAAACTTATGAAATTTTCGTCGTCTCACCTTTCGGTACTTTTCCTTCGAACGGTTGCTTGCTAGCAGGGTTGTAATCAAGTGCGCCACCCTGTGTTATTATCAACTAACTTTTGCTCGCATAGTGAGTGACTCAGATATTAATAAATAGTAAATTAATGTTTTTGCATTAAGTTCGAAAAATAAATGGGCGCTAATTTGTGTGTATGTGTGCGCTTTAGCAAATGCCACGAAGTGCAATGTGAGCTCATTGAAAACTTTTCAAACAAATGCTACTGTGTGTCACACATGTTGTTTTATACACTTACAAATGAACGCAAAGGAGGGTAACATACTGTATATCCTTCAGTTTCTATTTAATTTGTATTTACACATATTTTTGCCACAGTGTATGTGTGTGTGTATGTGTACGTTTTGTCCTGGTATTGGTTATTCTGCTTTTGTATACTCCTACACTTCCTTATTATCCTACTTTTGGCTTGTGACTGTGTTGTGTACTTGGTGTGCCATTTTCGGTATTATTTTTTACGTGTGCGCTTCTATATTTGAAAAGCAAACTTGATAAGTTCTAAAAACTTTCAATGCCAACTTTTGGACAAAATATGTCATGGACCTCTTGGACTAATTCATATACACATGACAATACAATTTTAGATGCAGAAGTTGATAGAAATAGTTTCTGAACTAACATACCTATTATGAATGATAACGTTTTGATTAACTATCAATACGTTGTTGATAAATTATCGACATACGTGTACTGTTTATAAATTATCGATAACTCGTTGATGATTAATAATTTATGGAATTTGTGGATAATAAGCCTTGAATTATTAATAAATAATATATAACATTTATAATCAATCGAAGTTTTCTTATATTTAATCGGTAATTTGTATAATAAATCGATAATGTATTGATGAATAATCGATAATTTGTTGGTAAAAGATGGATAATTCGTTGATAATCAATAATTTGATAACATTCTCCATAATTCCTTAATTTTTATAATGAAGCTGCACAAGCTAGCTAGCCGATAAATTATCGATTATTAACTTTAATTAACTTTTAACTTTTTCTTATGTGTCTTGCAATTCCTCATATACAGCACATTCTGATTAATTAAGAAGAATATTTCTGATAAATTTTGGTTGAGAAAGCGATGAAATTCTCAAAGGTTCGTTAGTTAAACAATAACTCGTCTAATATTTAATATTTAGCTAAAGAACAGATTGTTTTTTTTTTTTTGTTTCTTTTCTGCTTCTTGAAGTCAGGCCGACGCAGAGGTTGACTAAAGTTCTGCAACTTGCCGATATGGTGCAGTACACATGTCACCTACACATGTTCATATGTATGCAGTTTGTATGTATTTGTAATACTTTTGCCGACATTTACACAATTTTTTGTATTTCTTTTTTCTTTTTTAACCACAATGGCACATTTGCAATACGACCGCAATTCAATTTTGCACCTACATATATACATACATATATTGATATACGTATGTAGTTATAAGAATGCCACTATCACTTTTCCTGCTCGATTTCCCATTAAGAACTTGCACGTGCCAGCATACAGACATACACCTTCACATACATAAGTATGCCAAATTCTTTGCTATCTTCTCTTCGTTGACTTCCTATTAAAAAAAAATTATAATAATAATAAAAACTTCCTTAGGTTCCCTCGTGCATTATCTCACACACACACACCCGAGCACACCCGAACACACACAGTGCATTATAAATATATATGATAGATACTCGTATAATTTGTATGCATCTTTAGCTCGCCAGTTCCGCTTTCATCTTCACACACATACGCAAACACACACCCCAAACACATGTGCTTGTCACTTTGTTTGCACTTCGTTGGCTATCCTCTGTTTTTCGTATTAATTTTTAATGTATGAAATTGTCAGCAAACAGTTGAGAAAAGTTGGAAATATATGAAGTGCTAACCTTACATACACATTTATCATATATTATATATGTATTCATACAAGTGCGTGTGTGCGTGTCCATTGTTGTTGGTAGTGTTTGAAGTGGACTCAAGGTGGGCGTTGATGTGTAATAGTTTTTTTTTCTCTCTCTTCTTCTTCTTTTACCTAAAAAACCACTTGCCAAGCCATGTTTGTTGACATTTGGGCCTTTCTTTATTTGCTTTCATAAACGTGAGGGTAGGTGCGTTTTTGAAAATGTCTTTCTTTGAAAGATGACGGTACATACTTCTTGTGTAGTATGTAGCTCATAAATAAATTTGAATACTTCAAGGATTTTGTGTGAAAGGTTTCCAGTATCGAAATTTAAGGCACTCAATGAGAGATTACTTTTGAGGATTTTGTGTATGGTTTCGGACTCAGAGCACATGCAATACATATGTACATATTTATGTACTTGTTTAGCGTACTTTTAAATATAGTTAAGGCTTAATTTTGTATCTTTACATTATGATTTTATATATTTTTTATTCACTTATTTAGGTTTTAAAATTTTTTTTTTTAGAATTTTTAACTTTTTTATTTTTAGTTTTTTTTTTTCTTAAAATGTTAATTTTTTTTTAAATACAATGAACTACTATTCTACATATGTATTATGTAATCACTTTGACACACTCTTACTCTTCTTAAAAAAAAAAATTAAGCAAAAAACACAATCTTCAAATACGTACACTCGTGTTTTAAAAAGTAGGAAAAAAAAAATCATAATAAAATTATGATATTTGTAAATCAACTTTTTTGTGTGTGCCCCGTTGAATGCGAAGAAATTGTTTTTAAAGATTATTTTTATCATCAATGACAGGAGGATCTGCTAGTCTAGTCTAGTCATAAATGTGCATATAAATAAATCTATCTATTAGCTAATGATATTCTTACTCTATATCTACTCTATGCTATCTCTCTATGGGAATTTTAACAATTAATCGTAATAGTTTTTCTAAATTTAGTGATTAATCGGAGCGAATTATCGTTTTTAAATGCAACATATTTTTTTTGTTTTCGAAATATTTGCTGTATATTTTCCAACTATAACTTGTTGATCAATAAATAATGTTTTCTGACAATTTTATTTGCTGTATCAATTTTTTTATTTTCTTTGCTTTTACATTTTTTGTAATTTAAAATTTTTATTTGTAGCATTTCAATAGTTGATTTATCGCTCGGTTATTCCTAATTTATTGCTTTCTGAAAGTTTAATTTAATTAATAATTAGTTAAATTTCCAATTATTTGTTTCTGTGGAAAAATTCAAACATATTTATTCATTTTAACCAATTAAACGTTTATTTTTCAATAATTTCATGATGATCGTTTTATTTATTTGTTTCGTTCGCCTTCGATAACAAATTCAAAAATGAATTATCTACTTATCGATATTTTTAATTGGTTAAATAGAACCTCTATCGAAAATTATATATGTATGTACAACTCTTCTAGCTACTATATATATATATATATATATATATATATATATATTTTTTCTCTTAACATCTACAGATATATATATATATTTAACGGTCTCTCTTCACTTAACAGGGTCCTCTAATATAAACAATTAACTACCGAATTTTTTAAGATTTGTTTTTTTTTTTGTGATTACTGATTGATAGCGTTGTTATTGTTATTGTTGCTACTGTTCCATTGTCAATTCCAAAAAAAAAGTTCAACTTTATATCACTAAAAGCATTATGTAAATGATTTTTCACATAATTATGTATGCAAATATTAATTTTTTTTCGATTCTTTGTAGTTTATATATTTTATACATAAATGCAACCGGTTCTTTCATAAGAATTTATTGCATTATTTAAAAGGATAATGTAGAAATTTTCATACTAAAGCAAATAACAAACATATTTTCATAACATAAAATTCAAATTGACAATAAGAAAACTTTGGCGTACTTTTTTTATTCTATATTTGAAAAATACATTTTTTTCTTTCTTTTTTTTTATATATTGCGATATTTTCTTTTATTAAAATACCTGATTTTTTTCATAAAATACTTTCTATTTTATAATAATCTGGTGCACAAACCACTTTCTATTGTGAACACAAGGCGCAAGGCACACATCCATCGATTTCGATAATCAGCTGTCTTTGTTTACACATGTCTATTTCCTTCGTCAATTCGATCAAAACTATAGAAAATTATTTAATTTCTGTACACAACTCGCTAATCATAGAAAATCATGATTATTAGTTTTTATTATTAACCGTTTCTGCGTTCACATTTAGTTCACAATAAATAGTACTAGTTTTAAGTACCAGTTGCACTCAAACTATTTATAGCCTCCATTTTGTATGCGTGCATTTATTTTAGTGTTTGTATTTTAGCTTTCACTTTCTTTTATCGTACTTCTCGTAAACGGATTGTGTTGTTGTGCACTCTAGTTTAGTTTTATTGAAGAGTGTTTTTTGTTTTCTGCAAATGGCCAAAGTTGAAATGAATTTGATATTGATTAAATAAAAAAAAAAGAAACATAATATATTTTTTTGTTGCATACGAGTATAATATGAAACGAAAATAAAAAATAATTACCAGAATTACATATTATATGCATATTACTACATATTTATTATCTACTATTCGTTGTCTTGATCATAATAATACATTTGTAACTTTTTTGCCCTTCACAAAATTTTTTTGCAAATGCGTTTTGCAAGCGTTAAATTTTTCACAAAAAAAAAAATACGAAGAAAACCAAATTAAACAGTATAAAATTTTAATATAAATTTTGCAACATTTTTTTTCTTTTTGTTGATTATTTTAATTATGCTCTTAAAAGTTTCTAATTGCATTTTAAATATGTAATTAATATCCTTAAAAAGAAAATAAAAACATAAATAAAATAAACACAAACAATGCATCAAAATAATATTTTTCAAAGACGTACTTACCGTCCGTCCTAAGTACTATACTTATGCGTATCCTTCAGAAAACAACTTGTGCAACTCAACTTGAACACTTGTATGAAAAGCAAAAGCGCCAGCTCTATTGTATGTTCGTACCTTGTTTGTTTGAATTGATATTTCAGTCACGTTATGCGTTTTCACCGCAGGACACAGATTTCACATCATCGTATCCAGGTCCATCGATGAATCGCCGCGGTGGTTATAATGATTTTTCAGGAGGCGGCGGCGGTGGCGGCGGCAGCGCCATGGGCTCCATGAACAATATGGTGAATGCTGCCAGCACAAATTCGCTGAATTGTGGCGGCGGTGGTGGCGGGGACGGACATGGAGGCGGCTCGAATGGCACAAATCTAATTGTCAACTATTTGCCACAGGATATGACAGATCGCGAACTCTATGCTTTATTTCGGACAATTGGCCCCATCAACACATGCAGAATAATGAGAGATTATAAGGTGAGTGGCAATAAATACAAATTAGAATTATTACATACATAAATAAACAAATACCCAGCACATGGTTGTTAGCGGTGAAGAAAAGATTATGGAATGTGTGTATATGTGTACTTTTTTATTTTTAAACAATTTGTCGATGTTTTATAATTCATTCATATTTTATAATATATTGCTATTTGATAATATACCGTTAATTTGCATTATATCGATAAATTTATAATATATCGTTAATTTATAATATATCGATATTTTAAAATTTATCTATATTTTATACTTTATCGATATTTTATAATTTATCTATATTTTAAATTATATCTATATTTTAAATTATATCTTTATTTTATAATATATCTATATTTTATAATTTATCGATATTTTATATTATATCTATATTTTATAATATATCTATATTATATAATTTATCGATTTTTTGTAATACATATATCGATATTTTATAATATATTTATATTTTGCAATTGATGTTTTATAATCTCTCGATATTTTTGTAATTAATCGATAACTTCCACTCAGTATATCAGTTTCTTTTTAATTTCTTATATTCATTTTTTATTCGGTATTTGTAACTACATCACTAGCTCGTATGTCCTAGCTCTGCTGTACATACATACATAGATAGTATGGATGTATACCATTATGTATGTATACCGATTGCAATTTATTACTTAATATTTAATATATAAATATTTTTTGAACAACTAATGCCGTCATTTTCCACATTTAATGCCACAGGGGCAGCGGCACTCCTTTTCACTTTCATTATACTTGTTTACTTTATTACGAATTCATTTATTTGCTTTGCAAAGTTGATTTTTTGCACGTTTTCTTATTTACACACATACATACACACATACATATATGTAAACCAATTTTTCTTCTTCGTTTTTGCCGCTTGAAGTGTCAACTGTCAGCTGTCAAATTTAATGACACACACCAAACGCGCGCGCACGCGAATGACGAGACGTGCTAAGCGTCGTCCTTCCAGCGCCGCCTTTCATTGCATATCAAACACACTTCAACAGGATTACTGTGCGGCCAAAAACAAACACTCAGACACATTTATATGGGCATATATATGTATGTGCGTGTAGAGAGTGAGAATGAGTGACTACCGCTGTTAAGCTTACCAATCTGCTTGACGGCCTAACTGTCTGCCTTCTAATATATATATATATATATATACATGTACACATACACAAAGTTATCTGTCTATCTCTCTTCCTTCCTTCCATCAGTGGCAAAGCACAAAAGGCGCAGCATTGCGGCAACCGTTTTCAGTATTTTAATATTATTACACTGATGGATGTTGACGATTTTGAATGTCGGCTGAAGTGCGCTGCAGTGCTTTGCCGCTGTTGCCTTTTTTATGATAATTTTTTAATGAATGATATTTAATTTCCTTTTCTTTTTCTCTGTTCTCTGCTCATAATTTTAGACTGGCTACAGTTTTGGTTATGCTTTTGTTGATTTCGCTGCCGAAACGGATTCACAACGAGCGATAAAGAGCTTAAACGGAATAACGGTCCGCAACAAGCGTTTAAAGGTGAGTAAAATGTATTAGCATATTAAATATAATATGTTAAGGAATTTATTGATATTATTTTTTAATTGGTTCTTTATTTTATATATTGTCGGAAACGGATTCCAAAAAAAATGTTCTATTCCCTTTATTAAGCTATAGGCAACAAAATAATTTAAATTTTTCCTTTCATTCATTTGTTGTGAAATAACTATTTTGTTACTAAAATCGATTATATTTTTATTTAATTTCTATACAAGACATAGATTATTTATTTTATTTATCAATAATTTCCATGCAAAATATCGATTAATTTTACAATTGCCAAATATTAATCTGATGTTTCGAATATTTAGGGCTATGTATCGACTTTTTTATAGAGTGTTGATTTTTCATACACTTTATCGGTTATTTTCATGTAAAAAATCGTTTAGTCTTATGCAAAAATCGATTTTTTGATATATTTTTCGTAAAGCTGATCGATTAATTTAGGCAATAAATCTATTATTTTCATGCGAAAAGTCGACGAATTTCCTAAAATTCAAAGTGGATTACTTTCATAAAGGTTATCGATTATTTTGATAAAAAATCGATACACTTTATCGATAATTATCTTGTAATTTTTCTGTAATTTTTATTACATACATGCATATAAATTATTGAAATGGGAATACATCGATATTTTATACAATTTTCATATATTTTTATGTAATTATTGATAATTTTTACACACTATCGATTATTTTCCTAAAGTACAAAAAAATAAAAATTCCGTTCATCATCGATCGATATTTCAACAGAATTGACAAATATTTTTATGTGATTATTGAATAATTTTATAAATTATCTATAATTTTTACACATTTTATCACTTAAAGTATTTTTTGTTTAAATTCATCGATGTTTTAATACAATGTATTAATAATTTTAATATTTTGTCCATAGTTTTTACAATTCGTTGATATTTGTTATAATCGGTAGATATTTCTTTTAATTTTTATAATTTATCCATAATTTTTATGATTGGGTGATAATTTTTAAGATTTATCGATAAATTTTATGTTTTATTTAACGATACTTTTTAAGTTTTTCATTGATAGTTTTCAAACAGTAATACCAATTTCTTAAAGCTTAAAATATCTGCTTCAACTACCAGTTTATAACGGTATTTTTTGATAATGTGATTGAAGGTAAAAATAAAATAAATTAAAATAAATCCCCACAGACGAAGAGCATTCAAAATTTCTTAAAGTATTAAAAAAAATCTTTTTAATGTAGACTCACAATCAGTCACCCGGCTTTCTTCACTGTGCTTCGAATTTTTCTCTTCTCCATTTTTAATTTTTTCCACATCCTTCGCTTATTGAAAAGCTTAGTTACTTAAAAGTTTTATTTTTTTTTTGTAAATTTCGTTTCTATTCAGTGTACTCACCACCCACTCCACGACGTGGTGACCTTTGCTTCATCTAACTCTGCTGCTGCTGTTTTTTCATGAGCACTTATTCAGAGGTCAAGTGAGTGAGCAGCGCCAGTGCGTCGCATGGTTGAGCGCAACTGTTTGCTCCAATTTCAAATCGGCGAGCTATCTCTAAGTGGTGCAGCAAGACCAAGAGAAAATAAAAAAGTTTAATATCGAGAGAAAAAAAATCGCAAAAATTTAAAACTACTCTGTACGCTGAAATTGTAAACAATTAAAAATCCAAAACCTTTTCGCTTTGGCATGCTTTTCCTATGCTTTCGCCTTCGCTTCACTGCATTTTCTAAGTATTTCATTTCGTATCGATTTCCTTTTACGCCCTAACAGAGTATTTCAATATGTAGATATTGGCATTTTGCAAAATGAATTGTGTGTTTGAAGGCGTGTGTGTACTAAGTGCATTAGGGTGATTCATAAGGTAAATGGGGAAACTAACTTTTAAACCGAAATATAAATTTTATACTATTTAATTCGGTTTTTTATTGAACAAGTAAATGTTATAATAGTATTTTCTTAATTTTTTAAATTCTTCTGGACTTCTCAAAGGGTTTATAAAACATTTTATAGACAAGTGAAGCCATATGTAAAAAATAGCATACTTCAAGGCGCCAAACATAATAAAATAAAACAAATTAATCTAAATTTAAATCCCACTCTCCATCTAATGAACTATCCACTCACTACCACGTTACGACAGTACCCTCTACCGCTCGCCTCATTCGTCATACTCTCACACTGGTTGTAGTATTTTACATTTATTTTTCCCATTTTCTTCTTTGATTATTATATATTGTGTATAAAAATAGAAATAAAATTTAATATTGTCTGTGATGAGTGTGCATACAGCAATGATGATGTGCCATGCATACAAAAAAAAATATATACATATATATAAAAATAGTAATACACTCGAAATCCTGGGAGATTTTCCCTTCGTTGAGTCTGTGTGCTTTGGCGTGAGTTTGTGTGTGCAGGACATCAAGTGAAAAATGATAAAAAATGCAGACGAAAAATGTTTGCAGTTCATGAAGAGTAAGACAAAATTAAATATAGGTGGGGGGATGTATTTTTCTATTTTCTTGTTTTTGTTGTTGTTTTTCGAGGAATGGTGAAACTACTTTTGGTGGCTTAGTTAGAGTGCAAACAAAATTAGCTCTCCCTTTCAGGTTTGTATAGAGTACTAAGGCAGTGGTAGTATAAATGAAAAGAAGCAAATGACAGTTTTAGAGCTCATGTTTAATTTTATGGCGGCTTATTTCATGGAGGAAACCAGAAAACTGCAAAGCGTTTCACGTACAGAGCGTAATGTACAATGAGTGGAATAATTTTGTAAAGTCCTTTTCCATATGATGATGAACTTGGCATTACTCACCTCGTGGCGCCTAACGGATCGAGCGACGGATATAAAAAAAAAGAGAGTAAAATTTGTTTTTTTTTTTTGTGTTATATAAATGAACCACTCTTCACTTTTTTTCCTGAATTATTTAAAAATATTCAACCCGATTTTTCTATAGTTTTGATCAAGTCGTGAACTCGATCGTTTAATACAAGGTGTATGTATATATGTATGTGTGTAGTATGACGTTCTGTTTAGAAACATTTGAAATGCTTATGCGGTGCAAGTTGAGGAGGCAGTGTATTGATTCACGCCGTCAAACAGCTGATAGATGCATGATTTTATTTAATTTTAGCGAAATTATGTAGCGTGTTGCGCAGGAAATGTGCTATTTCGATGGTGAAATGAGATAGATTAGGAGGAAGCTTAAAGGGACATAACAAAAGTCTTTTAGGACATGCATTTTCTATGTAAACTTGGCTGGCATTGATGGAATTAACTACCGTTCAGCAAGCAACTAGCGATAATGCGCACTCTGTGGTGCTTGGAAAATGCTTCTAAGAGTTGCACATGGCGAAGCTGTTCTTTAAATATTCATAGAGATAAAGTTAGTCGTTTAAGTGAACACGATAATTTCACAAAGACATCAATCCATAGATGACTAATTTTCAAATTGTTTTGTGCTAATGTTAGGCACATTAAACAATAAGTTTCTAACGTCAATTTGTATGAATGTATTTAGCATACAATTTCAAACACACGTGTGTACATATAGTCATCAAAATTGCAATGATAAAAGTACATTTCAATCAACACAAAAACAAAGTTAATGTATCAATGAGAAGCAAGACAGCGCAAGAGCAATAATAATCGTATTTTGCTGTGCTTGCAATGTAAACAAAAACAAAGCTCGCGTTTTAAAATCAAAATTAATACAAAATATTCACGACAAATGCTCAGTGAACACAGACAATACTACGCTAAATACGCAAGCAATGTGGCCATTGAAGGATGGCGTTGTAGCAGAGTTTCGGGCGTTTTTTTCTTGTTGTTTTACAATGTTTTTTTGTGTGTTCGCCGTAAAATAATTGAAAAATCATAATAAACAAATTGATTGTATCTTTGACAATGAGGGATTCAGTGATTTTTAATGCTTTTGATATGGGTATTTCTCAAAGCCAAAGAGATTGTTGTGTCACTACAAAGTCTTTTTTATATCTTAAGTGATTCTTACACGCATGCCGGTGGTAACTGGTAATGACTGACTGACTTTTATTCTTGAATTGATTTATTTTTATTTTTATTATATTGTTTTTTAATTAATTTTTCTTATGTATGTATATTAAATTATTTAGTTTTTCACATTAAATCTAATTGTTTATATAAAATTTTTCTATTATAGCTTTTTTTTTCAATATTATTTTTTATCTAGAAGCTTTCGATCTTAATTAACGTAAATATTTTTTCTTTTTGTACTAGGTTTCATATGCTCGGCCTGGCGGTGAATCGATCAAGGATACAAATTTGTATGTCACGAATCTACCACGTACTATAACCGATGATCAATTGGACACCATATTCGGTAAATACGGCATGATTGTACAAAAGAATATACTCAGAGACAAATTGACGGGCAAACCACGTGGTGTTGCCTTTGTAAGGTGAGTTCGCTTGAAATATATTTTACTAGTTGAATTCTCATTGAAATAATACTAAGATTTGTTCTTACTACAGTTTTATACATTCATTACATCTGTTGTTTTCTTCTTCTGTTCTTTCTTTTCTGCTTGCACGTTCAGATTCAATAAACGCGAAGAGGCGCAAGAAGCAATTTCCGCACTAAACAATGTCATACCAGAGGGTGCGTCCCAACCGCTCACCGTACGACTGGCCGAGGAGCATGGCAAGGCGAAAGCGCAACACTATATGTCTCAGCTCGGCTTGATTGGTGGAGGTGGTGGTGGTGGCGGTGGCGGCGGCGGTGGTGGCGGTGGCATGGGAGGACCACCACCACCGCCCATGAATATGGGCTACAACAACATGGTGCACAGAGGTAGACAAAATAAATCACGTTTCCAAAAGATGCATCCCTATCATAATGCACAGAAATTCATTTAAATAATGAAAAGAAAAAATCAAAAAAAAAAACATTTTTTTTCCATTAATCGATTAATTGCGTTCGCCGCAGTAGTTAGTTATGCATCAATACATATGTATGACGATCTATAATCTAAAGCGTCTTTGTTGAGTAAGTCAATATGACACACAGCGCAGTGCAGGAATTTTCTTTTCTTTTTTTTTTTGTAATTTTGCACGGTGAATACATACATGCATATGTATGTATATATATATGCTAAATATAAACAGACAGCGCGATATACTGTGCAGAGCAATAGTTTTAAATAATAACAATAAATTTAATTTTTTTCTCATAAAAATCTGAAAATTACAAAACAGACAACTCCAACTGCAGCAAACTGAATAATTCATATTTTTTGTAATTTTTTTTTTGTTCAATGTTTCTACTTATACGTAATGATTTATATATATTATATATATAACAATAATAATAATACTACTACTACCAAAATATGCTGCTGTCTTCTGTTTAAGCCTGTCTTTTGCTTTAACCAGCGAAATGAGGTGTAAATGTGTAGGCGTAGCAAAATATATCCGTAAATATATATATATTTTTTTAAATAATATTTTTTTTTAATGCTTAAAGGTGGATGCCGATGTATTGTAATTGTGTAATTGAGTAAAATAAAATATTTAATAATACATTGTATACATACATACATATGTACATATGTATATATACATTTAAAATATTATACTAAAACTTAAAACTCGGAAATTACATAATTGAGAGGAAAATGAAAAAAATTGATAGAATTCAATTTAATAAAAAGAACATAGTTGAAATAGAAACAGTAATTTCATTAACTCGGCTATAATCGCGGAAGCGGAGCTACGCCAGTGAAGAAAACTGTATTAAATCGCAATCGAAGAAATTTACTATTAAATTTAATTTTTATACAAATAAAACATTTCGGCTTGTGTTTTAATAAATAATTGTATGTAGATTTGGGCATCGGCATTGACCACCACAAGCAATATTTTTCTCTTATTCACTTCAACGAATTCACAGCTAAACAGAAATATTATATATATTTTTAATATTTTCGTTGATATTATTTTGTTTATTTTTTTTTTTCATTTTTCTACATATTTTTTAATTTGTCTAAAATTTTTTTTTAAATTATAGTATTGTTCTTTTCTTAATTTTTTTGAATAATTTTTTTTTTTTTAAATTGTAAATGCAATTACTTCTACAACAATTTTACACTATAAGTCAACTTTTCAAAAACTTAATTTCTTGAAATGTATACATTATGGCAAATTTCAATTGGAAAAATTAAAAAATTAGCAACAAAAAATACAAATAAATAAAAATTATAATAAAAAAAATTAATTTAGTTTTAGGATCAAATTCTTCTCCATAAAATCCATAAAATATATAAAAAATAGTGTTTTTAATTATTTTTGTTGCATAATTTATGAAAAAGCGAAATATTTTTGTTTAAGCATTTCTTCAAGACTTTTTTCTAATTATTTTATATTTTTTTATATTATAAGTTCAAATACGTAAAGCAAATATATTATTTTCTTTATTAAAAAACAAATACAAAAGGCGCAGCGTGTTTATAATCACAAAACCGCTTATTGTATGTATGTGTATTTATAATTAAAGCTTCAAAATTGATAAACTCACGTATTTAAATGATTTTTTCTGTGCATTGTTCTCTAAGGAAAGAGATAAAAAGAATTTTTTTTTGTAGAACAAAATATCTTAATTTTTTTTCAATAAAATTGCTATTTAGCAAAATTACTTTTGTTTTTGTTTTTTTTTTTTTTTGTAGCCGTGAGTATAACGAGAAAAGGGAACAGTCGCAAAGAATTTTATGGTCCGATAATAAATTTTTTTATGTAACACTTCTCTGAATCTATTTTTCTTGAAAGCTTTATTTTGTAATTAAAACAATCTCATCACTCACTGTTTCTATTAAGTTTTAAAAATATACTTTTTTTCGCATTTCTCTCATTCTATTCTTCCAACAAATATCTTCCGTTTAAACACTTAACATTTAGTAGCAAAGAAAATGACACGAATTGGAGATACTAAGTACAGCCAAGTCCTTTTCTACCTGGTCTTTCCAATGGAGTGGAGGACTTTCATCTTTCTCTGATAAATACTGATATATACTTTTGGTTCCAAGTAGATCCAAAGGAATTTCCTGCGGAGTCAAATCACGGCGATCTTATTAGATTTCATTGATAAGTGTAGTCCCTTATGCAAGCTACAGAGTACTTAACAACATTTAATGATGGTCAACTGGCTTTTGATATAATTTTGATGCTATCTTCATGGTAAAGCTCGCGTTAAAAGCCCAATACTTGTTGAAGGTTTACGATGATTTTTTTCATAAAAGTCGAAGAAAATACGATTTAATTTGCATAAAATATTGATAAGGAAAACATTTCCAGTGCTTTTCCACTGCGTTGATTTAAATTTCAAACATTTATCATTTACAACAAATATTGAACACGCCTCCTGGGCCCATAACCTGTGGAAGGTTTACGATGATTTTTTTTTCAGGAAAGTCGAAATATTGATCCGGAAAGCATTTCCACTATCTTTCCATTACTTTGACTTATCATTTATGCACTTAATTTTAATTTTCCACGTTGATTTTCTGCGTTTCGCATTATCGTATCGAACCCACTTTTCATCACTCGTTACGATTCGATGTAAAAACCCCTACTCTTTGAAGCAGTTGCTCACATAAACATAGACGGCGCTCGATGTCCCTCGGTTTCAACTCGTACGGCACCCAGTTTCCTTCTTACTGAATCATGCCCAGAGCCTTGAGACGTTTTAAAAATAATAATAATAACAAAAATAATAATAATAATAATAAAAATAATAATAATAATAATAAAAATAATAATAATAATAATAATATAATGATAGCAATGGGACACAATCCGGCTTCTGAATATTGTAATCCGTTAAACAAATTTTACTTTTTTTTTGTTCAGAACAACCCATTGTACACTTTCTCACCACTTCGAATTCTTAAACACGATTTTTCCAGGAGATTTCGCGTGAAATTTTGATAATTTTCAACCTATAGTAATGGCTGGGTTTCTCTTGCACTGAGGAAATAATTAAATTCCAATAAAAATGAAACATATTAATGATGCAATAATATGGCATATACCCCTATCGTATGGGTAAACTCGCTGCCTGCAGGCGCCCTGAATGTCCAGAACGTTGATTCTGCCAAGGGATTCTTAGCTATCTCTCTTCAAATATGTGAGGTCATCGAGTCCAGAAAATCCCTGAAATCTGAATATAATAGTACGCACTTTTGCTTTTGGCCGTCGAATCTCGCATTATTATTTTTCGATTTTCCATTGGACTGACATTGCCGCCAAGTGATTATGAGCTAGCAGCCTCTTCTAGAATGATCTTCAGCGATCTCCCCCTTCAGGATGGTCGCAGTATCCTTGATCTTAAGACGTTGCTACACACCAGCCTCTATTCGATCCTGCGTTTCTGTAAATAAATGACAGAAAGTAATCAGCTGTGGTGGCATTTGTTACCACTTGACTGTAGAGTTGCCACCTTGCTGATTTATCAATATAAATATTAAATAATGTAAAAGACACAAAAAAATTCTTTGTATGTGTTCAATCTTCAATTGCACATGATTTGGTGAATAATTTCAAACACTTTCCTACACATTTTGGTTGGGTGGTGGGTGTGGAAAGGGTATGCGGAAATTTCAACGCGAAACGTTAGTTATTTATTGTATGTATGTATGTAGTTCATGTAGAGAATCCAGTAGTTTGTACTCAGCTATGCAGCTCGAAAAAAAAGTCACAGAGTCAACAAATAAATTTCTACATAACCTCAAACTCAAGACGTAACGTTTTGCGTTGAAATTTCCACCATGAGGTTTGTGACGAAAAATTTCTCCATAAAAAAGGCGTCATGAAAATCTCTTGANAAAAAAAAAAAAAAAAAAAAAAAAAAAAAAATCACTGCTGCTGTAATTGGTTGAAGTGAACTCCTCTGATGTAACCCTATAAAATGTGTAATCAAACTTTTTTTCCTTTCTTTTATTTACAAATACGATTACTGTCTCGTAATTTTAGACATTTCCATGTGAGTTTTTCGTTTTCATAATATCGAAACACCTTTCTTTTACTTCTACATATAATTTAAAATTAATTGATTTAAAAACATGGTATTTATGTATATGTAAATTTGACGTATTGGACCATTTTTGCGACTGATGCCTATATTCTTGTTATTTTTATACATACATATGGATTGCAACGCTGCGCCAAGCCAAAAATTATTAAATAAAAATATTCTATTCATTTTTTTTTTTAATTTTCGATTTTTTCTCTTTAATTTTTAATATTTGGTATGTAACTTTTTTTTTAATTTTCGTAGTTTATCTTTTTTTTATTAATTTTTTTTTGTTTGCTTAGCTTGACCCTGAAATTGTAATGAAATGAAACAAATATCTTACACTTGCGAGAAGGTTTTTTTTTTTACTTTGAGTAATAACATAACTTACAAATTAAAAAAAATATATTTTTTTTTGAACTCGGCACAATAATAAGTAGTATTTTATGCAAACATGTATTGCAAATAATTACATATACAAATACACAATTATTTAACTCATGATACATACATACATATACTAAAGGACATGAAAACATTTTTAACTTAAAAACAAAAAAAAAATAAAATTTAAAAGGTAAAAAGCATTAGAAATGTAGTGTTAGAGCGCGTCAATGTTGCGCTTTTCTTCATAGTACATACAGAGAGTTTAATTAAAGAAAGCATAATAACAATTACAATTATTTATATAGTAATATGTATAAGAAAAACATTCGCAAATACTTCAACAATATTTATGTCAGTGTGTAATTAAATAAAAATATATATAAAAAATCATTTTTGTTTTTTTTTTTTTTGCTCAAAACTCGACGACTGCAAAAATAAAAACAAAAAAGCAGAAATTCAAATAATTGCCGTTACTTTCGCTATCGTTCAAATCGCTAAAGCCACCCAGCGGGAAGAATTTTTTTCGTTTTTGTTGTTTTTGTTATTTTTTTTCTAGCTCAACTTCGCACGTATATACATGCATAAGTAAAAGAAAAAGAATTAAAAAAAAAGAAATTTATGTAAAGAAAAATTACGCAAATTTTCGCCGGCTGAAAGTCACTAAAAGTAACCAAAACCAAAACAAAAATGCCGCATGCCGCGTTCTCAGCAGCAAAATAATCAGCGCAAACAGCGAAAAAGAAACAAACTAAACTAGAAGAAATAAGTAAGTACTTCTTTACACCTTTTCTTCCTCCCACTTCTCTTCAATTCTACTACGTACTACGTGCGCCATATACTTAAGGCAAAAAGGCAGCACTGCTGCGCCACTCTTCCTCTTCCCTCTGTGGCCGCTCAAAGGTGAAAGAAAAGAAATATGGCCGACTATGCCTAATTTCGAATTTTTGTTGTTTTTTTATATACGAATATCCTACAATAAATAATAAACTAATTTTTTGTTAATATATATTTACTGCAAATTTTTTTTATAGATTGAATACGCAATTTAGTAGATATTTGCAAGTATATCCAAATGTTGTGTTGTGTACCCACTGAGTGAAGGTGAGATTTTTTTGTATTTTTTTTTTCAATTTTTTTATATACATAAACTTAGTACATACTACATGCATTTGAAAAAAAAAGATAATAATAATAAAAAATAAAAAATAAAAAATATATATTAGTATACATAAATATATAAACATTCTTTTATAGGCTAACAGAAACAAAATATTTTTGATAAAAGAAAATAATTTTTTTTTAAATACAAGATTTATATAAAATAAGGGGTCAAATGATGATAGCAAAGAAATCTTAATTTATTTAAAAAAAAAATAGAAAAATTTCTAAAATAAAAAACTTAAAAAAATATATATTTTATTAGCAGTTTTCGGCAAAAACCATCGATAATAACAGAAAAAGGTGAAATAAAACGAATAAAATTTAAATATAAGAAAATTTATTATTGCCAAGTATTCTACAAAATAATAATAAAAATAAAAAAGGTTTCAAGCGAACAATAAACTAAAATAAAATTAATTGGCATTTCTCATAATAAAAATAAAAATAAAGTAAAATAAAAAATTTAAAACGAATACAATTTTCAAATAATATTTTTATGTCATTAAAAAAATTTTTTTTTGATGCTAATATTCGCTGCCTGCAGGCGCCCTGAATGTCCAGAATGTTGATTCTGCCAAGTGATTCTTAGCTATCTCTCTTCAAATATGTGAGATCATCGAGTCCAGAAAATCCCTGGAATCTA